GTCGTACCCGGGCCTGGGCCCCTGAGCTGCGCACCGAATTGTAGCGAAGGGGGCGGTCGCGGTCGGTGCTGAGAGATGAGGGTGTGGGCGGGGCTTCCGCGGCGGAAGCTGGGAGGACAGCGGGGGCGGAGGTGTCTCCGGGGAGGAAGGCCTGGCCTGTGGGGAGGCTCCTCTGGGAGAAAAGACGCAGCGAGAGTCCCCGGGGAATCCCCCACCCGCCCCCAGTCGGGGACCCCGTCGCGCCTGCTCGGGAAGAGCTCCAGGCGCCAGTTGCTATAGGCAACCAGCTCTGGTGACCAACTGGTCCCGGTTGCCCGGGTTATGATGGTTTAGCGCTGGCAGGATCGCGGGCCCGCAGCCCGCCGAGGTGACGCTATCCTGCCCCCTGCGGCTCCACCCAGAGTAGGTCCGGGAGACTTTTTAATATGGGGCTTTTTCTTTTTTTAACACTACCTGTTTAATATTAGGGTGAAGGCACCCCGCAGACACTCTCCCGACCAAGCCCTGGCATGTCAGCACTTCAGTGGAGCCTTCCTTCCTAAAGGTGGGAAGAATACCGGGGCACATCTTCCTTCATGTGCTGTCCTGTCTCAGCCCAGCTGTGGGGCGGTCAGGGTGAGTCTGTGCTCTGCTCAGAGCTTTGACACTAGAGACCAGTTTGGGAGTTTCTCCCACACCCTACATCCCAGGATTCAGATAGCCAACCAGAACAGCCGTGAACTTAAATGTTCCGATCAGTTGTCTATCATTAAGCTGGGAAAATCTACAGGTAGTTAGAAAATGTGATAGGTTCCAGACATGAATGTCCAATTTTTTTCCTTTCCTAACGCACAGAGCCTCGTGGTGGATCAGCTGTTTGCCTTCCCCATTCAAAGGGAAGGATGAAAGCTCTACCTAAAAACAGGATGTGAGCGGAAGAGACCTGTCATTGTGAGTCTGGCTGCTGCTTGTCACTGATGTCATCCCCAGGGTGACATGACCTCGTGACCATAAACCTAAGTGGCTGCAGTTAAGGTACAGAACTGGCCGTTCTTGACATTGCTTCTCTGTTTGGTCTTGGACACCTTTGAGTCACGTTGGGAAGGATGAGTATTTCTCATGCGGCCTTAATGAGTCAATTCATAATGTCGCTGTTATTACCCAGATGTCAGAAGGAAATTAGAAATCAGTTCATGCTTCTTAGGGATTACCACCAGTTTTTACATTGGGGTCAGGTTCCATAAGAGATGGAGGAATAATTTTCATGATTTTATTTTTTGCTTTTTCGGGTACCCTCCCCAAGAAATTGATTGGAAATGGGGAAAGCAAACTGTAGTTTGGTGTGGCCCCTCTAAGGCATAAGTACTGTATTTTTCCATGTATAAGACACCCCCCACTTTTCCAACCCCAAATTAAGAAATCAGTATTTTAAACATTTGGCTGGTTTTCCTTTTAAGGCCTTCTTCTTTTTTGGCATCTTAAGGAGTTGTTCTTCCTGTTTTCTCCACTGTCTGATCATACACTCAGTGGGAGGAGGTCCAAATTGTCTCTCTGCAGCTCTGTTTCCATGCTCTTTTGCATAACTGATGACATTCAGTTTGAATTTTGCAGAGTAAGACAATCACTGGCATTTATCTTTTTATTTTTTTGACATGTTTATGGGCTCAGAATGCTCCAGTCCCTGTTGCATCTTTGCACTCTCCACCTCCACCTCCAATTACGGCATCAGGTGACATCAGTAACAATAAGGCTCGTGATCGGAGGAAATCTGTTTGACAAGGTATGGGCAGCTACACACCTGCACGGCTCCCTCCTTGGCTGACTTCTGTGTATAAGACATTCCTCGATTTTCAGTCTAACAATTTTAGGGAAAAAAAAATAGAGTCTTATACACGGGAAAATACGGTAGTCAGACATTCCATTTTGGGAGAAATTAGAGGCGTGTGTGGAGGACAGGTAGATTGAAGTCTCCGGCGTGGATATACATTTTATGTTTGACTAGCTCGGTCTTCTTGGTAGATGAAAACGGTACGGCACTCGGAACAGACACTTAGAACAGCTCTCATCTCAAAGAACCCAGCACTTGTGTCCCAGTATGAGAAGTTCGATGCGGCAGAGCGGCGTTTGATGAACGAAGCCTTCCGACCAGCCAGCGATCTCTTCGGGCCCATCACCTTGCATTCGCAGTCAGATTGGATCACCTCCCATCCTGAGCCTCCCCAAGACTTTGAAGAGTTTTTCAATGATCCTTCCAGAAAGACACCCTCTCGAGAGAAACATAGGATTTATATACAGTGCATTGGTATATACTATCATATGCTGCATGTGGTGTGGTTGTGCTGTGGTGCCGTTGCCTGGGATAGTTTGGGCTGTTCATCTCATTCCATAGTGGAAGTTTTTAGCCAAACTGTCTTAAAAGAAGATATTTTGTTTCTAAATCAGATTCGTGTTATTGAATGATAAAGGTGTTTTGAGAATTTAGATTTCATTTGTTTCTAATTCCAATCCATAATTATAGACTGAGGTAAAGACTGAGTATTTTAATCATCCTAACGTCTTTCTCTAAATTTTCTTCCATATTATAGGATCTCTAGGAAATACCAGAATTATCAGCGAAGAATATGTTAAATGGCTCAAGGGCTACTGTGAGGCATTTTTCTATGGCTTAACAGTGAAACTCCTAGAACCAGTCCCCGTCTCTGCAACAAGGTGTGCCTTCAGAGTCAATGATAGCACGGAGAACCTACAGATACATGCAGGTGAATGGAACAACTTCACAATTTTAATTGAGTCCAGGCTGTGGAGATATATATAGCTAACACACGTACATATCTTTTTGAGTAGGGCACATTCTGCACTTCTTGAAAAAGAAGAAACCTGAAGATGCCTTCTGCATTGTGGGAGTAACGATGATTGATCTTTACCCCAGAGACTCCTGGAATTTCGTCTTTGGACAGGCCTCTTTGACAGATGGTATTCCTTTTTGGCTTTGTTTGTAGAAACTTTCTGAACCTGAGAATATTGGAAGATGCTGAAAAGGGGGAAAAAATTCCATTATAATTTTGATGAAGGATATTTGAACTCCCATTAACTTAAGTGAAAATCTTGCTTAATTGTTTTTGTTAACTTTTTGTGGTCGTTTTGCATAGATGGAAGAGCCACACATTGCTTTATAAGTGCGTGCTTGTCCTGTGTGTGATTTTATTTTAAAAGAAAATAATTTGTTATTTTATTTTTAAAAGTAAGCTTCAGTCTGTTATTGGAGATACAGTAAACTTTGACTCATTAGAAACCCTGTATGGCAATGTTGGGGGTGGGAAAGGATCCAGAAGAAAATCATAATTTTTGCCTATTTTTTTTTGTCTTCACTTCTGTTCTCCTACTCATCCTTTTTAAAAAAAATCTTCACTTGAGGATATGTTTATTGATTTTAGAGAGAATAAGGGAGAGAGAGCGAGAGAGAGAGAAAAGAAAGAAGGAAGGAAGGAAGGAAGGAAGGAAGGAAGGAAGGAAGGAAAAGAAAGACAGACATTGATTGGTTGCCTCCTGTATGTACCCCAACTAGGGATTGAATCTGTAACCTAGGAATGTGCCCTGACTGGGAATTGAACCCAAAACCTCTTGGTGGTGTTTTGGGACAACACTCCAACCAACTGAGCCACCCAGCCAGGGCCCTCATGTCCATTTTTGCTCTTATTTCTCTACCCTTATCCCCAGGCTCAGAGACCCGTTTGAAGGGGAAAGGTCCTGGTACTTGCCCACCATCCCCAAAACTAAGGGGAGTGGTTGTCCATTAGTGTTTTGGGGATGGTGGGCAAGTACCAGGACTGTACTTTATGATACCAACTGTATGGACTGTCTGGATCACATATTAGCCTCCCTCTGACAAATGTTTCTATTAGCTGTCTCCTTCTCTTACCCGAATTCATCAGAGGTACAGGCCCAGGACACTACCCCTTCATCCTCAATTCTCCAGTATCTTCTTATGGCCCCGACTCTCCCCATGACCCTACCAATACACTCTTTTGTAGACTTGGGTCACTGCTGTGTTCCTGAGTTGCGCTGCCTTTCTATCAAAAATGAACTTGTATGAGCTAAATTTTTTTCTCTCCTTTTATTTTTAACCTGGTAGAGATGGAAAAAATTTTAAAATTAAAACTATTTATGTAGATACTAGAGGCCTGATGCATAAAATTCATGCAAGGGGCTTGGCCCTCGTAGCCGCGGCACCCGCCTTCAACTGGAAGGTCGTTTGGCTGTCCGGTCTAATTAGCATATTGCGCTTTTATTATCATAGATTGCTGGCTAATTTATCTTGTACAGTTGAGGAGGTCAGGAAGCATTCCTCCAAAACGTTTCTACTTTAATTTTTTTAAGTTTCGTAAATACTGCATCACATACAAGAAACAGTAGCAAGCCAGCAGCATTGATCTGCCAGGCAGTGAGACAGTATCTTACAGGTGACTTTATTCTCTCCAGGTTTACAAAGATTTGTGCTTTTGAATTGAGAAATGTTTAATTATAAAGAAAACAGTCTTCTATTTTTAGAATCATTAGGACGCATTCCCCTGAAATGCTCTTACCAAAGGTATTGTCGTAAAATACGCCCACACTTTTTGGCCAGAGGAGGTTACTTGTGACACATGAGTAGATTCAGTTTCCTTCTTAACTTCCAGAATGTTTCCTTCTCCCTAAATTTCAAATACCAGTGGACACTTTCCAAGGAAGTTTCTTTCTGAATCAAGTTGGATTGGACAAACTTACTATGAAATCATTTCCGTAACAAAAAGGCTTCTTATGACTTTCAAATAAGAACTGAAAAGCATAACTAACAGTGGTTATGTAAGTCAGATTATAAGGCAATCCTCATTAGAATGAGTTGAAAATCATACTCTGTCCCCATGTGTGTGAAGATGGTTTAGACAAGCCTAAGACCTAACACAGGAAGTCAGTTACAAGGTTTATTCTGGTTCCCTGACTCCAGCCACATAACAGAGTTGTGCTGTGCCTAAGAAGGGGGAGGGGGAAGAGGTTCTGTCTTTTGTCTAAGGGCGCGGGCATGGTCTCCACGGCCTCAGGGGCATGGCATGAGGGAAGGAAAGGCCCCCTCACTGACACATAGGTCATGGAGATCTGTTTATTGTGGGATTTTAAAATATATATTTTTATTGATTTCAGAGAGGAAGGGGGAGAGAGAGAGAGATAGGAACATCAATGATGAGAGAGCCATTGATCAGCTGCCTCCTGCATGCCCCACACTGGGGATCGAGCCCACAACCTGGGCATGTGCCCTGACTGGGAATTGAACCTGACCTCCTGGTTCATAGGTCGATGCTCAACCACTGAGCCATGCTGGCTGGGCTTTTTATCGTGTTCTTAAAGAGAAAAGTCATGAGCGTGTGTTGTTCGTATGATCATTTTCATTGCTCTTTCTGGAGTACTTATTTGAACTATTCTTTGAGGAAAAGACTTCCTTTGTGGGAAAACCAAACCCTCCATAACTTCCAGTTTGTCAAGAATTTGACAAAAGACAATTGAGCTTTACAAGGCAGGACACATTGGATAGTAGAAGAAAGTTTCGAGAGGGAAATCTGGGGCAAAGTCCTCCTTTGTCTTGGCAGACCTGAGGCATATTGGGCTCCGTGAAGGCAGGAGTACAGACACGCACTCCCTGGCCGGACGCCCTGCAGGAATCTGACTGTCGTTCTGCTGTCGCTTGTCCTCTTTCCGTAGGTGTGGGGATATTCAGCTTTGCCAGGTATGGCGGTGACTTTTACAGCTCAAGCTACAAAGGCAAAGTGAAGGCGTCGCAGAGACAATCTTCGCGTGACTATTCGGTGTTTGATAACTATTACACTCCTGAAGTGACCAGTGTTCTGCTGCTTCGGTCCTGCAAGGTGAGTTGTTTACAAAATCTAACAGGATTATTAGTAAAGAGGTCTTAATCCCCTCCACTGCACATCCACGCTCCTTAAGGTAATATTATCAATGAGCTTGTATCACTTGTCTAGTTTTGGTGGCTATTGCTTGACTGAAATAATGGATACCTTAATATTGAAATGTACAGTACCTGTGCCCGTTTTTTGTCCTGTTAGTTATACGCAGCCTTGGCTGTGGCCACATCCTTACCATTAGTTTAATTCCAGAATTCTGTAGAAGTAGGTAGCCCACCCTTTCAGGCTGCTGCTGGCCATCAAGGAAAGCTGCCTTCCTGGGGCCTGGAGGGTTAAGGAGAAAGGCCTTCCTCTTGGTCTCCAGGCTCCCTTCTCCTGCCTTGGTCCTACTGACAGTTCCTGATGTCTCCCCTGCCACTGCTCTTGGAAAGCCTATCTCCTCGTATTGTTGATAGCCGGGGACATAGGCTGCTTCTGCTTTTCCCAGCACTATCTGTGGGGTTTGACAACATCACCTCAGAGAGCAATGTTTTCAGTGAACATTCCCTGCATCGGCTTCGCCTTGTGTGCTTGTTAACATGCAGGTCAAGGCTCTCCTCCCAGACCCACTGACAGAGCATCTCTGGGGGAAGGGCCCCAGGCTGTAAATGGTTACACAGGCTCTCACCCAGCAGCAGTCTCACCACCCAGCGATCATTTGGCCATGTGGGGGGATATTTCTGGTTGTCACAGTTGGGGAGTGGGTGCTACTGGCATCTAGTAGGGAGAGTCCAGGGGTGCTGCTAAACATCCTTCAGAGCACAGGATAGCTTCCTTCCCCCAAAGAATCTTCCCACCCAAAGTATCAGTGGTGTCGAAATTGAGAAACCCTGGTCCGGTAATTAAGCGGTTAAGTGTAGTGAAGAAAGCAGGAAGACATTTAAGGAGATGAGGGGTTAAGTCTTTGGGCAGATTGAAGTTTGGGGGATGATGGTAAGGGAATTGATTCCTACAAATCTGTTTCTTAGAAAAGTAAGGAAAAAGCAGGGGTGTGTAGCTTATTGTTGATGATGGTGGCTCTATAAAGCCTCAATGTGAATGTCTTGCAGACTTTAACCCATGAGATTGGACACATATTTGGACTTCGACACTGCCAGTGGCTGGCATGCCTAATGCAAGGCTCCAACCACTTGGAAGAAGCTGACCGGCGCCCCCTAGATCTGTGTCCCATCTGTTTACGCAAGTTGCAATGTGCTATTGGCTTCAACATTGTAGAAAGATACCAAGTAAATTGGGGTGGGGTCATCAGAAGGGAGAAGTGGTTATATAAATAGCAAACTACGATTTTATATTAGGCTTCTCTGGAGCTGTCATTTATCAGAGGAAATTAGTGCAGAGATAAGCAGGAAGCTGTGGTTAAAAAAAAGAGAGAGAAATATCCTCCTTAAAAACTTGACTTGCCTCTGAGTGCCTTACCCTTGTAGTTCATGAGCAGTGGTGGAAGAGGTTTCTGCATTTGCCATTCATTTATGACAAGAGAGCCTGAATCTTCAGAACAGAATAAATGTTGATGCGTGTGCAAAGTTCCTTTTTAAAAACTATAAAAATGTTGAGGTGATTCACCTTACCAAATATGGGACAGAGGTATAGTCATTACGAGGAAAAGATGATTTTAAGAAGGAAGAGGGAAAGTACATAATCTCAGTATGTGTGAAGGTATGTGTGTCCTCACATGCCCACAAACATCAACTTACTCATGGTACAACTACCCATGCAGGTAACTGCATTACATGTCTACATGTACCTTCATATGTCTACACTTAACCTATGGTGTACGCATTCATATCAAATCAAAAGCATAGCATAGTTTAATGCCCTGTGGGACATTTAGCAAGTTGAGAAACATATCTCCCACCCTAAAAACTAGAATTAGTGTATTTTCATTTTTTCTCCTATGCCTATGTGACTATAATTTATAATCATAGTTAGCATATTTTGGGTGTATATTTGTTCATGCAATATGTTAGCATAAGTGTTCTTTTCATATTCATAACCATCTTTATCAAATGGAACATCTTTATGGGTAATCTAAGTCACCGATTTAGAGAATCTGATTTAGAAGCCAGTGTTTTTCTCTTGCCTAAAACTATTTGCTGTGCTTTGTTAAAATATTAATCTCTCTTCTTTTCAAGGCACTGGTGAGGTGGATTGATGATGAATCTGCTGACACGCCCCGAGTTACTCCGAAACGTAGTCATGACGGTAATGTGAATTTGCCCAAACCTGTGGAAGCCTTTAAGGAGTGGAAAGAGTGGATAATAAAATGCCTTGCTATTGTCCAAAAATAAGAACCTTCAAATAGGAGTAATTAAAATCCTTGCACATCATGCTTTCTTTTGTATGGAGTGCTTCATTGGAATAAACTGTTTACTGATTCTGCCCTGTATCATGGTGTAAGCATGACTTTCATATGCACTGGGAACCCCAAAATAGTGATTTCACTCACTCGATTGTGATATTCCCTTTATTGCTGTGGTCTGGAACCGGACCCCCAATATCTCTGAGGTATGCCTGTAGTTACAGTGCTAAACGAACTCTGACTTGGCAGGGGTGTGGTATTGGGGTTACAATTATTTAGACAATATGTAATGCCCATTTGTACCTACTCTGCACTGTGAGCAGGACAAAGAAACAAGTCATTTAGTCTTGTTAAAAGTTGGACAGACATGAGCTTTATGTAACAGGCATTTATTCAGCAACCATCACCTAAATATTGTGTATAACTAGTGGTTGTGGGTACCTCTGGGCAATTTCTTAGGGTTAAGATTTGTTTACTGCAACTATGTCTTATGCCCTATCCGTAATCTTTGTAGTTGTTAAACATGAAATCCATGTAAATTTTGCTCTGCAAATGCTGAATGAAGAAAACCAAGTGAATCCGAAATGCTATGCACTTTGGTGCCGGTGGAATTAGTAGTAGCTCTCGGGTCAAGGGAAGGATTAAGTGTTAACATTTCATTCCGCCGAGACTGAAGGGGGGTGGGCGGTGGTTTAAGTAGAAGGTGGCCAAGATCCTACTGAGAGTCTAGTCCCCGGCTTGTTCTTGGGACCGCAAATTCACCTGATGTGAATACTTTTAAATTTCTAACCCTCAGAGACCCGAGGGGCTGGTATCCTCCTGGGAGCGAGCCTGCTAACCCCAGGCGGGCCGGGCTGGCCCTCCGCCCGCCGGCGCTGGCCCTGCCCCCACAGGAAGCGGCGTAGCGGTCCGTGCGGTGCCGGGGCGGGGAGCCCGGACCGGCTGCTGTGAGCCCGCGGCGTCTCGGCTGCTCCCCTCCTCCCGACACCAGAAATTTCACCCCAAAGGGAACGCCGGACATGCAGGCCGTGACTCCGCCTCCCCTGGGGCTGGGACCTCGGCTCCGCGGAGGGGAGCGCTGGGCGCGCCCACGTGTCCGGCTCCGCTCGGCTGCACCCGCGGGAGGCCTGGGGAAACCCGAATGGCGAGGCCGCCGAGCAGTAAGTGGGGTCACGTCGCGGGGAGAGCATGGGAACAGTGCTTCCCGAGAGTTTGCGCCTCAGTCCCTGCCTGCGCCCGGATGATAAGCTGGCGCCGAGCCGTCCAATGCACGTGTAATGAGCCACATACGCTGGTCATTAACATGCTGCTGGGAGCCACGTTAGCCAGTACAGAAGGAAGCGGGTGAAATGAATGTCAGTTTGTTATACGTTTCATTTAACTCAGCTTATCCAAAACATGGTTTCAGCGTGTGGTGAGTGTACCCATTGCTGAGATGTCTTACAGTCTGTGTTGGTCCTGAGGCTTCAGATTCTGGCTGTTTTACGCCTGCAGCTCGGCTCAGTCTCACCGGCACCTTCCAGGTGCTCAGCAGCTCCGCGGGGCTCGGGCTGCGATTGGACGCCCGGCTCCAGGTTAGGACCGCCTCGTGGTTTCCATGGAAGGATGTGCCCGTGAAGTTGAATTAATGGGAGAGAAAAACTTTTTTTAAGGAAAAGGTCCTGCGGCCCCGGGAGTACAGTGAGCGTTGACATTCAGGCAGCAAGGGTGTGAAGCCCGGAAGGGCCTCTGGCTTGGCACTGGTTCACTTGTGGGTCTTGCTGTTGCTCCCTTCCTCTTGCCAAAGGTGTGGTGTTTCCTTTACATGCGTTTTCACTTGGGGAGAGCAGGATTGTAAAGTGTCAATAATGTGATCGCTGCCGAGTCCGCTCCACGGCGAGGAGACAAGCCCAGCAGCCAAGGAAATGGTGTGCGGTGACTCCAGAGGCCGAAATGAAACCAGATCCCAGGCTCCCTGTTCCCAGTGCTGCTTTGTTTTCTCTGTGCTGCATGACCTCATCAGAAAGAAAATACCACAAGCTGGAAACCGACCATTTTCTTCCAGTTGTTTATAAAAGGGGTTATAAGGTTAAACTCTTCTTCAACCTCTTTTCTCTTAAGTAGGGCCGCTGGGGTTGCTCAAAGAGAGAGAAATCAGAATACTTTGCTTTAACATTTAAAAAAAAAAAAAAAAAAAAAGAGGTTCAGCCCCAGCTGTGGTTCAGCCCCAGCTGTGTTGGCTCAGTGGATAGAGCCACGGCCTGCAGACTGAAGGGTCCTGGGTTCGATTCCGGGCTGTAGGGGGCGTGCAGGAGGCAGCTGATTGATGGTTCTTTCTCATCATTGATGTTTCTATCTCTCCCTCTCCCTTCCACTCCCTCTCCCTTCCACTCTGAAATCAATAAAAAAATATTTTTTAAAAAAGAGATTCAATATCCAGGAAAGCATTTGCTGCCAGTTGAGACATTTTTAAAAAAACATCATGGAGCCCCACTGGCTTTGTTAAGTGGTTGAGCGTTCACCTGTGAACTGGGTCACAGTTCAATTTCCCGGTTAGGGCACATGACTGGCTTGCGGGCTCGGTCCCCAGTAGGGGGTGTGCAGGAGGCAGCTGATCCAAGATTCTCTCTCATCATTGATGTTTCTATCTCTCTCTCCCTCCCCTTTCCTCTCTGAAATAAATCATATATATATATATATATATATATATATATATATATATATATATCCTTTATAGATAGAGGTTTGGGATACCAGTTTTGGTGTCTAATTTCCGCTTAGGAAATTCGTAGTCACTGCAGTACTTATGGTTTGGATATGAGAGGTTATTTAACATGAAGAGTGAAGTTGCAAGTTTAACTTGTCACTTTTCTTGTTCTGCACCAGAGGCAGTCAATACAGAAACAGAACACCAGAGGGCACTAGGTTCCTTACTTATAAGGCTGGTTGGCCCACCTGTTGGAGCTTGAAGCCCTCACTTCTATTAACATCTGTATCCAAGACAAATCTAAAGACAATACAATGTGTACTTGTAGGAGTGACCTTTAAGCATGTAACATGCCCGAAGTGTCTTTAAATTAGTCATTTAAAGTAGTGTTCATTAATTACCATTTAAGAATTTAAAGGAAATGGCTTCTAAATGCTAGATCCCCGAGAGCCTCATATCTGGGAGCTTTAGGATTCATGATCATTTCTTTATGAATTTTAGAATATTTGAGGAGTACAGAAATGTAAGTATAATAAATGCCTCCCATGAACTTCAGTGGTGACCTGGACCACGGGAACCCTGATTTGAAAACCATTTTCTTTCTCTCTCTTTTAAAAAAATGTTTTTATTGACTTTAGTGAGAGAGGAAGGGAGAGAGAAAGAGGGAGGGAGGGAGGGAAGGAGGGAGAGAGAGAGAGAGAAACACATTGATCAGCTGCCTTTCATGTGCTCCCTGACTGGGAACGAGCCTGAGACCCTTTGGTGCACGAGCTGAGCCATACCAGCCGGATGGTCTATGTGTCTGTTTCTATGATATTAAGTAGTGTGTTGCCATCAACTTTGTTCTTCTTTCTCAAGGTTGCTGTGGCTATTTGGGGTCTTTGGTGGTTCTATATAAATATTTGGATTATGTGTTCTAGTTTTGTAAAAAATGCCATCCGTGTTTTGATAGGGTTTGCATTGAATTTATAGATTGCTTTGAATAGTTTGGACATTTTAATGATGTTAATTCTTTCTATCCATGAGCACAGTATATGCTTCCATTTATTTGTGCCTTGCTTCTATTTCTCTCTTTAGTATCTCATAATTTTCCAAGTACAGGCCTTTTGCATCCTTGGTTACATTTATTCCTGGGTATTTTATGGTGTTTTTTTTTTTTAATGCAGTTGTACGTGGGATTGTTTTTCTTAGTTTCTCTTTCTGATAGTTCATTATTGGTGTATAAAATGCAACCAATTCCTGAATATTAACTTTGTGTCTTGCACTTTACTGAATTTATTTATGAGTTCTAGTAGTTTTTTGGTGGAATCTTTAGGGTTCTCTACAGATAGTGTCATATTATCTGCAAATGATGACAGTTTTCCTTCTTCCTTTCCAATTTGGAATCCTTTTATTTCTTCTTGTCCAATGGCCGTGGCCAGGACTTCCAGTACTATGTTGAATAGGAGTGGTGAAAGTAGACATCCCTGTCTTGTTCCTGATCTTAAGGAAAACACTTAGTTTTCCCCCCGTTGAGTATGATGTTAGCTCTGAGTTTGTCATATACTGTATGATTTTCATTATGTTGAGGTATGTCCCCTCTATTCCTACTTTGCTGAGAGTTTTTATTATAAATGGGTGCTGGGTTTTGGCAAATGCTTTTTCTGCATCTATTGATATGATCATGATTTTTTTAATCCTTCGTTTTTGTTTACGTGGTGTATCACATTAATTGATTTGCAGATATTAAACCAACCTTGCATCCCAAGAAAAAAATCCCACTTGATCGTGGTGTATGATCTTTTTAATGTATTGCTGGTATTTTGTTGAAGATTTTTGCATCTATGTTCATCAGGGAGATTAGCCTACAGTTTTCTTTCTTTGTCATGTCTTTCCCTGGTTTTGGAACCAGGATAATGCTGGCCTCTTAAAATGAGCTTCGGAGTCTTTCCTTCTCTTAAAATGTGTGGAATAGTTTGGGAGGATCAGTGTTAATTCTTCTTTGAATGTTTGATAAAACATAACTGTGAAGCCATCTGGTCCAGGAGTTTTGTCTGCCTATGGCTAGTTTCCCACTACAACGGCAGAGTTGAATAGCTGTGACAGAGCGCTCACGGCACCCAGAGCCTTAAGTATTTACCACCTGAATCTTTACACAAGTTCCCCAGCCCCTGGCCTGGGGAGTCTGTGCTACTAGAGGGAGGACAGTTCTCAGGATTATTCTATAACTGGATAGTCTTAACTGTTTCCACTTAGAACAGTTGAGAGGCTTAGCTATCACTCTGTGGCTACTGTGATATCATTTCATTCATGTATTTCATCCAAGAAATAAATTCAGCAAACACTTCTTGGAAGTGTTTGTGTTGTCTCTAGTAGAGTTAAAAATTTTTTCAGAAAAGTTGTTTTTATAGCTATAATTGGATCAAACAATGAATGCCGAGTCAATAAAAAACGAATCAATCTCTTTAAATAAAAAAAGCTATATATTTATTACAAATCTAGAAGTACCAGAATGTCCCTAGTACAGAACAAATCAGCAATCCCGTTTTAATTTTCTTCCAAACATTTAAAACCTTGATTATTGACAAACTGGAATTGGCATATATTTTTTTCATGCAGTTAACAGAATGGACATGAGCACAGAGCTCAGAAATCAGTTATAAATATTAAACCGTATTTAACATTCATAGTAGAAATGGTTATAAAGTGCTGAAGTCATGTAAGTCTGCAACAGTCACACTCAGTGTCCTTCTCAAGCAGTGACAGGTCTGCTACATCGACCTCATTTTAGGTGTGTCTTTTTTTGACGGACACTTTGTCATTTCCTGTTCCACCTCCCCCCAAAGATTTACAGATTGTCCTATGTCTATGGCTGATAAAATTCTGTACAAAATATAGCAGGTGGTGCTGAACGATGCCACTTCCATTTCAGTGCAGAGAAATATTCAAGCTTTGTGTACCTGTAACCAAACTAGGCTTATTATATTGTTTCCCCCTGAGTTGTCATAAATTAACAGTGAAGATGAATGAGGATGGAGCAGCGAGCATGGACCATCACCTGTAGAGTAAGATTCGGGACGTAGGAGCCAGTAACCCACCCGTTATCCTCATATTTACTTTCTTTACAGCAAATGGCTAAAATGAGAAATACTATACATGTAGTGTAACTGCAAACAACAACACAAAATAACAATGATCGGTTACCCTGAAAACTCTGGCAAATTAAGAGCAGTCAGAGTTTATATAAGACGGAAATTGCCACTTGTAACTCGTGATGGTCAAGTTACTGTCCCTGCCGCCCCGTGTGAAACACCGAAATGCTTCAGCAGTCAGATGTTTTTCTTTTTAAATCAGAAATGCTTCAACCATTCAATGAAATAGAATTCTGATCCAAAGAACATCCTCAAGTATTCTTAGGTGATGAAACCTTATTTTAAAAGGCTAAGGCTATTTGCTATTCATTATTTCCCCCCTTCAAATAGCACATGTTGTCCTCAGTCACATTGAAGAATCATTACCATTTGGCCTCCTGGAGTAACTTTACAAGAGAAGTAGCATTCGTATTCTTTGAGGCATCGAAAGGATTGCCGAGGGAGCTGAAAGTGATGCTGATGTCCCAGGTGATATTTCTTGTGATTACTTTAATCATCCTAGAATAACTTAATAATAAATAGTGGTTTAAATTAAAGATACTACAATCACATATTTCTGAATAATTAAGAGCATCAGGAAATGCACTTTGAATGCTATTCTGTATATTCTGTGTGAAATACTTCTGGTAATGACTGGCCATAAAAAGACGTGGGAATCTTCACATTCATAATTTTCAAGTTTGTGTGTGTGTGTGTGTGTATACATATGTGTGTGTGTGTGTGTATATACATATATATACAATATATATACACACACACACATATATATACTATATATATATACACACACAAATTTCCATTTATTAGCCAAATGTTTGGTCTTAAAGTGTACATCATTTCCATTGAATATTTGGGAAATTAAGAGGTTAGACGTTTTTAATATAAAACCTCAGTATTTTTCAAAGAGTTTTGACCATTTGTTCATATTTCTGAAAATGAGAAATTGTAAAAGTGATTTAAGATTTTTTTTTGAATGGCCAATTGCATTTCAATGACCCGGGCTAGATATCGTTTTACAGTATAGCAGGTGATATATGTGAGAGCGCTTACAACCACTTTGCCAGTTTGCGTCACTATTTTAAAACTGGAATGTGGACCACGGTGCTTCCGCGTGTCTCTGGGTCTCTCCGGAATACAGCCAGGTTTCTGTGTGGAAGAGTATTTGGTTGTTTCTGTTTTGGCTTAAAGAACAAGCAAACAGGAAAGCACAGAGAAAAGGATGTTGGTGGTAGTGTTCATGTCCCCATTCCCTTCCAAGTGTCGTTTTGAAAGCAGGTGGAATGGTTGGCTCCTCTACACCACGGTGTCCCCCAGATGCCGCCCCCCAACCAGCCTTGGGTGGTTGATGTCGTACGAAAGCCTGTCTGTCATTCTGGCTCCGTTTTCATAGGAACTTTATGCTCGTGCTTCCCAAGGTCCATTTCAAGGAAGTCTTCAGGGATGTCTTGCAAAGCTCTCCCCCGGTAGCTCTCCGCCTTCCCGTCGCCTGCGTGGTGGCGCCGGCACAGTCCCTTCCCGCACGGCCTCACCAGCGCCAGGCACCCCGCGGCCACCGCCATCCCGGCTGCGCAGGAGTAGAAGGCTCTGCTGTACACCTTGCTGTGGTCCACCAGCAGCCCTGGGGAGAGCAGGCACACCGTCAGCACCGGGCGCAAACCCCTCTCCCCCGGCCCCCACACTCAGACGCTTCTCTCTCCTGGCCTGCCTTGTTTTATCTTGTTTATCTAAAGAAAAAGGGTCGAAGGCAGGAATCTTTTCTAGACTGGGGGGTAACGGGGGAGGAGAGGGGGAGAAATAAAGCAGACAGCGTATACTTATTAGCAGCTGAGGTAACGGTGTCGCTAAAATGTCCTCATGGGCTGCCAGACTGGCGTGGCTCAGTGGTTGAGCGTCGACCTGTGAACCAGGAGGTCACGGTTCGATTCCCGGTTAGGGCACAGGCCTTGGTTGCAGGCTCAATCCCCAGTGGGTGGCATGCAGAAGGCAGCCAGTCAATCAATGGTTCTCTCTTATCATTGATGTTTCTATCTCTCTCACCCGCTCCCTTCTTCTCTGAAATCAATAAAAACATATATTTTTTAAATGTCTTCATGGGATAATCTGTACTAAAACACGGGACTGTTGGACGCATGCTTCTTCGGAAAGGGAATATTCTTAAGAAAGGAAAGAGCTCTATTATTTTCACTTGGGCTCATGTCAGGTCTCTGTCCACATGGGGTAAGATTTCCAGTCCCAACAACGTTAAAGTCCTATTTCAGGTCTAAGGTATGAAACGCACCCTGTCCCTCCCACAAGGAAGTGTGCGGTAGTGATCAGGGGAGTACTGGAGTGCTGCTCTGTGCTCAGCTCCCTGACACCCTCCCAGGAAGGGAAGGTGGCTCACAGAAGTCGCTCAGTCCTGCTGTTCCACAGGTCAGAGGGTAACGAGCTCATAATCCATGGGCCCCTCCAGCATTTACACAGCACGATGGTGGGCAAGGCCTGGGCAGCTGGGGCTGCAGAGGGACTTGGTCACCGGTTTACCATTGGGCCATTGGCTCACAATCTTTGACCTTCCATTTCCTCCTATTAAGTCCAGAGAGCTGCTCAGGTAATCTCTAATTCTGCCAGTTCTCTAAGTCTATGGACATATTAGAATCAGGAGACTTTTAATTTACACTCGAACAGGAAGCTAGCACAATTAACAAGGAAATACTAAACATTGTAGATTATATAATCCATAGGATAGGGCCCACTTTATGATATAACTAGAGGCCCGGTGCATGAAATGTGTGCACTGGGGGGGAGGGGGGGGCTGTCCCTCAGCCTGGTCTGTGCCCTCTCGCAGTCTGGGAGCCCTTGGGGGATGTCCTCAGTTGGACATCTTTAGCACTGCCGCAGCGGCAGGAGAGGCTCCCGCCACGCCGCTGAGCTCGCCAGCCATGATCCCGGCTTCTGGTTGTGCAGTGCTCCCCCTATGGGAGCACACTGACCACCAGGGGGCAGCTCTTGTATTGAGCGTCTGCCCCCTGGTGGTCAGTGCGTGTCTTAGCGATCGGTTGTCCTGCTGTTCGGTCGATTGCATATTAGCCTTTTATTATATAGGAGGATATGATCTCCATTGAGAGCCTACGAAGCTATCTCCAGTCTTCCTTAGGAATATCCCTGCCCTAAACAGTGTGTCATGTTGAACTAGTATGATTCAGGTCCAGAAAGGCGACAGATGTTCCACCTGTCCAACTCTACCTTGAAAAAAAGCGGGGGAGGGGATAGCAGGCAAGGGTTTGGATTTGGCGTTGTATTGGCATTACCTGCCAGGGGCGGCCCAGCGAGCGCCGCTATGCTCTGGATGAAGACATAGACTCCGGCGGCAGAAGACATCTTCTCAATTCCCACCACGTCCTCTTCCGCGAGCAGTGGGATGTGGGTGCCTGCCACGGTTCCAAGCATAACGCCAAAAAATATGCTGCAGGACATTAAACCCCAGAATTCAGTAGCAAACGTAAAGGCAAACAGAGACACAGTCAACAAGATGACGAAGACGAGCTCAATGTAGATCTTCCGGATGGGCTGGCTGTTGAGGATGAAACCAGCTCCAATCCTCCCGAACACTTCGGCAATGGCCATTGTGGAGAGCAGAAGAGCAGCCCGGTCCTCGGTGATGTCCAGGCTGATGCCCAAGGGAATGATGTACAGGGAAGGGGCGAAGAACCCCAAGGTCGCAAAGAGACCAAAGAACGTGTAGCAGATGAAACTCTTCTCCTTCAAGACGGAGAAGTCCAACAGGGGGCCTTTCTCATCGCCGCGTTTGGGGCTGGGCTTCTCCAGGATCCGCTGCTCCACATCGGCCTTCGGCTCCAGTTCCACGGCCGTGTGACCAGGCACGTTTTTAGGTGAGGTAGTTAGTTCTACTCCTGAGTCAATGGAGTCTATCGAGGTGCGAGTTTTCTCGTTTTCAAGCATATATTGTACTTCTTTTGGATTTTCCTGTCCAGTTGTTTTCGGTGACCCTGGTCCCCTGATGAGAATCGGCCTCAGCAGCGCCCCGCAGAGGACGATGTTTAACTGCAGCACGCCCACGAGGAGGAGGCTGTACCTCCAGCCGATGTTCTCCTTCAGAGCCGTGAACGCTTGGGTGGACGGGAGGGAAGAGAAATAGAAGGTAAGGCCAGGCATGGACTCAAGACCCAGGAGACAGTACTGAGCAGAAGTAGGGATTTAGAGTTTGCTAAATTATTTATTTTGGAATGGATGTTTCAAGCCTTGCTACTGAATATGTGCCACATATCTTCCTATTTGTGTAAATTTGGACTAGGATTGAAATGTTTGAATTCCTGCCCAGCTGGTGTGGCTCAGTGGTTGAGCGTCGAACCAGGAGGTCACTGGTTCGATTCCTAGTTAGGGCACATGCCTGGGTTGTGGGCTCGACCCCCACTGTGGGTGTGCAGAGGCAGCTGATCAATGATTCTCTCTCATCATTGATGTTTCTCTCTCTCCCTTCCTCTCTGAAATCAATATGTATATATTTGAATTCCTAACATGAGGGTTAGGGAGCATAGACCCCAAAAATGTGCTGAAGGAGAGAAGAAAACACCCTTTCATTAGGCATAGAGTTACAGACATCCGGTGGCCAACTGTGGGTAAGTTAGAGTGACAAGTATAGCTGAGTGGCTTCCCCTCATTAATACCCAGATGTGGTGGTCCACCTACCTGGTGCAAAAGCAAACATAGCAAAACATTCTCCCGTAGAAGCAGCTGCGGTGACGATCGAACGTCTTTTGTCAAAGTACTGAGATAGAATGGTGAGAGCTGGGAGGAAACTGAAGCAGTAGCCCAAACCTGTGCGAATCAAAAAGAACTATGAGAGCCACACACTGACCGACGTCGGAGAGACGCATCCCACAGCCTGGGCGGTTTGTGTTTATTTGTTAAATCCTAAGTTCTGGGAGCCCAGGAATTCATTCTGGAAAAGGTGTCGTAGCAAAGGATTAGAGGTCCGGAGACGCTGCGACTGTAGTTTTGGGATGCTTAGAGTATGAAAACTGTTTTCTGTTTGTTTGCTTTTCTGCTTTTTTGCATTTTTTTCCAAATGTATTTAATTCACAGTGGACATAACTTGTATTGAATATAGTTTTTATATATAAGACTTCTATTTGAAAATAATGGAGTTTTGAAATGTACAGAAATATCTAAAAAATTTAAAAGTGTGCAAAACTAGCTATGTATGGATACATAAATAATACAATATATGTCATATCTATATATCTACATAATATATGTCTATAGAATATATATATGTCAGAAATGTATGGACTCCTTTTAAAGTAAAAAAGGTTTTCTCAGGCTCCTAAGCATAAGCCTCCCTCTATGGCTCAGGATCCTCAGATCCTGATTTGGGAAGTACTGCATAAAGAAATTAAAATCTTACTTCGTGAAAATGATGTCTTTGGGTGGCAAACTATAGGGGTTGGCAATAGTAGGTTTACAGTTGTGAGTACACAAAATAGAGCTTATTCTTGTATTATTATTTACCAGAGGCCCGGTGCACGAAATTCATGCACTTGCAGGGGGGGGGGGGGGCCCTCAGCCTGGCCTGCACCCTCTTGCAGTCCAGGAGCCCTCGGGGGATGTCTGACTGATGGCTTAGGCCTCCCTTCCCCCGATTGCCTGCCGCTGCTGCCAGCCGGGGTGGGGCCACCCCCCTGGTCGAACTCCCAGTCGAGGGGACAATTTGTATATTAGGCTTTTATTATATAGGATTTTTAATCCTTACCTGAGGATATCTTTCCTTTGATTTTTTTAAAAATATATTCTATTGATTTTTTTACAGAGAGGAAGGGAGAGGGATAGAGAATTAGAAACATCGATGAGAGAGAAACATCGATCAGCTGCCTCCTGCACACTCCCTACTGGGGATGTGCCCGCCACCAAGGTACATGCCCTTGGCCGGAATCGAACCTGGGACCCTTGAGTCCGCAGGCCGACACTCTATCCACTGAGCCAAACCGGTTAGGGCTTTCCTTTGATTTTTAAAGAGAGTAGAAGAAAGAGGGAGAGACAGAGAGAAACATCAATGTGAGAGAAACACATCGATTAGTTGCCTCCTGCACGAGCCCTGACCAGGGCCCAGGCTGGGGTGGAGCCTGCAACCAAGATATGTGCCCTTGACCAGAATCGAACCCGGGACCCTTTGGTCCCCAGGCCGACACTCTATCCACTGAGCCAAACCGGCTAGGGCTGGGACACTTTCATTTTAAAGAGAAAGGGACAGAGGAAAAGAAACTTTGGGTTTGAGTCCCTGCTTCCCTTCCTTGTCCTTCAAACTAAATGTCTGGAAAACTTTCAAGCCCAGAGAAGCGCTTACCGGAGATGATGCCAATGGCGATGTACATGTGGTACACCTCCTGGGAGAAGGAGGCCACCACCATCCCGGTGCTGACAAGCAGGCCTCCCGCCATCACTACCAGGCGGTGTCCGAAACGATTGCTCAGGATAGTGGAGAGGGGAGCTGCGTGGAAAGAGCATAATGTGACCATTTGACTCCCAGAATTGCGTTCGCTTTAACACAATTCCTTCTGTAAAGTCTCGGACATGGAAAGACAGTGGACACCACATAACACAAAAGAATCGGATTTAATAAGGTTCCTTCTCATAAGTCTTGAACAGGGAGCGATGATGTACACTACATATTTTTGCAGTGGTTACATAAACCGATTCAGGAATTACAGTTGACCCTCGAAAAACATAGGTTTGAACTGGGCAGGTCCACTTATATTTGGATTTTAAAAAATAAATATAGTTGGTCCTCTATCCCGGGTTTTGCATCTGAAGATTCAAGTAACTGCAGATGGATAACAGTATTTTCAGTCTGCGGTTGGGAGTCCACGGATATGGAGGACTGACTATGCATCGATCTACCCCATTTTATGTCAGGGACTTGAGCATCCATGGATTTGGGTATCTGTGGGTGTCCTGGAACCAATTCCCCCAAAATACCAGGGATGACTGTTAAGTTTTGGGGAGTCAAAACATATACATTTGACTATTGAGGGGTCAGTGCTCTTAACCTGTATTCAGTGGTCAACTGTATTTTAGTATTTGGTTAAACTGGACAATATATTCTTTGAGTTCCTTAAAGAGAAAGCCAGAGTGCCCTGGCCAGCGTGGCTCGGTTGGAGCGTTGTCCCGTGCACCTAAAGGTTTCGGGTTTGATTCCTGGTCAGGGCACATACCCAGGTTTCTGGTTCAATCCCCAGTCGGGGTGTGTATGGGAGGCAACCGGTCGATGTTTCCCTCTCTCTCCCTCTCCCTTCCTCTCACTCTTAAATCAATAAAAACATATCCTCGTGAGGATTTAAAAAACACACACACACACTTTGTTTAAAAAGAGAGCGAGAAAGCCAGAGTAATAGTATAAAACTCTTTTCTGTATTTTTAAGTGAAAGATTCTGAGTTACCTTGAGTGCCTATAAAATTAGATATGCATTAGATTTATGTTATTCTGTAATAAAAATGGGCTTTCCTATAATTGCTTGAATGACTTCATTTTCTATACTCACTACTTTGGACTTTTTAAAATATATTTTTATTGATTTCAGAGAGAGGGAGTGAGAGAAAAGAAAAATCAATGATGAGAGAGAATCATTGGTCACCTGCCTCCTGCACGCCCCCCACTAGGGATGAAGCCCACAACCTGGGCATGTGCCCTGACCGGGATTCGAACCATGACCTCCTGTTTCATAGATCAACGCTCAATCACTGAGCCTCGCCAGCTGGGCTGGGCTTTTTTTTTTTTTTTTTTTAAATGTTCCATTTAGGGTCAAATTCCAATTTACTTCCATTTGATTCTTAGGAAAGTGATATGAAAGTATGGTTGACTCTCAGTTATGCACACCAAACGGAAGGTAGTGATGGGATAAATAATTCCAAGTGGCTGATGAATATCATTTACAAAGCTTCTATCTTTCTTCTTCATGTAGCCACATCTTCATGTTTCCAACCTAAGCATGTTTTTGTGAGACCAGGGCCAATAGGCCAAGTACTTCTTTTTAAATGTCTTTTTAAAAAAAATATATATTTTTTTGCTCTGCCGGCGTGGCTCCATGGTTGAGCGTCAACCTATGAACCAGGAGGCCACGGTTCGATTCCTGGTCAGGGCACATGCCCGGGTTGTGGGCTCGATCCCCAGTGGGGGGCGTGCGGAGGCAGCTGATCCATGATGCTCTCTCATCATGGATGTTTCTCTCTCTCTCTTTCCCTCTCCCATCCTCTCTGAAATAAATAAAAAGAAATTAATTAAAATATATATATATATATATTTGTTGATTTTGAGAGAGAGGAGGGGAGAGGGAAAGAGAGAGAAACATTGATGTGAGAGCAGAACATCGATCGGTTATCTTCTGCACACCCCCTTCTGGGAATCGAGCCTGTAACCTGGGCATGTATCCTGAGTAGGAATCGAACAAACAAACTTTATGTGCACGGGATGGCACCCAGCCAATTGAGCCACACTGGCCAAATACTTTTTTTTTTTTAAATCCTCACCTGAGGATATTTTTTCCATTGATTTTCACAGAGATTGGAAAGGAGGGGTGAGTTGGGGAGAGAAAGAAAGAGAAACATTGCTGTAAGAGATACATATTAATTGGTTGCCTCCCCCACCTGCACCGAACAGGACCGGGGATCGAACCTGCAATCCAAGTATATGCTCTTGATAGGGAATCAAACCCAAGACCCTTTGGTGTACGGGCTAATGCTCTAATCACTGAACAACACTGCTAGGGTCCAAGTACTTTTGATCTGCTGCTTTTTAAAAACAATTGCATCACCATAGCTGGTTTGGTCCCGGGTTCGATTCTAATCAAGGGCATGTACCTCAGTTGTAGGCTTCTCCCCAGCTCAGGTCCTGGTTGGGGTCCATGCAGGAGGCAACCAGTCAATGTATTTCTCTAACATAGATGTTTCTCTTTGTCTTTCCCTCTTTCTTCCACTCTCCCTAAAAAAATCAATGGAAAAAATATCCTCGGGTGAGGATTAACAAACAAAAAATAAAAATAAAGTAAAACATAGGGTTCCAGATTGTGGGCTCAATCCCCCAGTAGGGGGCGTGCAGGAGAAAGCTGATCAATGATTCTCTCTCATCATTGATGTTTATATCTCCCTCTCCCTTCCTCTCTGAAATCAATAAAAAATATAAAAAACAAACAAAAACAATTGCATCCCTCGTAGAACTGGAGGTTACTGCTGTCCTCAAAGTAATCGACAGCATCCTAAGAATCAACTTACAATAGGTGTCCAATACATGTGTGTTAAATTGAAGTCAGTCAAGGTTGACAAGTAAGGCTTTTTTCCCCCTCCAGCTCCTCTTTCTCTGGCCATTCTCAACTTCCTGAAAACTGTATTACTTGAGGCTAGAAAGTACCAAGAGGTCATGGAGAAGATGCATCACAACCATAATGTGTACCATTCTGTAGTTAGGCAAGTTAAAATTAATAGTGTTGAAGGTGAAAGATGTACTCACCTGTAAATGTTAAGAAAAACACACATATTGATATTACCCATGAGATCCTGCTATTAGATTCCTCAAAACTGTCCATTAAGTCATTAAAGAAGACGCCAAATGACTTGATGACACCGTAGGTAAAGACTTCAATGAAGAAGAAAGACACAGCTACTGCCCAGCCCCACCCTCCATCAGGCACTTGAGTATAAACATTGGCTCCGGAACAAAGCTGTGATTTCTTCTCGGTCATTCTTAATCTAAAATAAAAAGTTTAAAGAAGTCAGAACCATAATAGCACGAGGGTTGATGATTCGAATGCTCTTTAGCAAACTTAACAGATAAGAACTATTTATCACATTTTTTAGGTTGATGAATATTTAAATCATGTGCAGTTAGTAGAAAGTCTTTGGATAATAAAAAATCTAATGGATCCCCCAAAGAATTTAGAGGTAAGATTTCCAAGCGGTGGCAATTAAATGGGAAAAACAAACTAACATAAAGCATCAGGGAAGATATTTACTAGTAGAGGCAGTGTGAAGGATAGAGAATGGCCAAAAGACCAAGCATAAGTGGTGACCTTGAACTTGAAGACAAGTTAGGTAAAGGAAGAGTGAAGTGAGCAAAGGGAATGTTGATCAGAAATGAAACCTAGATTGATCGAGAATTAAAAATGGCAGTAGAGTAAGTGGATGCTGCACAGACATTCTCTCAGAAACAAACTGGAACTACAACTGAAATACAGAAAAACTTCCTGAATAATTAACAGAAGACTCACAGGAGAACCCTGATACCCGAGGACCAAAAGTGGAGACCACATAGAGACTGGTCCGAGATGCGAAAGGGCTTGGCGGGCGTCCACAGACAGCAACCGAAGGTCTGGAGAGATATCTCAGCTGTGGGGGATTGCCACTGAGAACTCTGGGATCTAATCCCCAAGCTGGCTCCCCCCCCCCCCCCAGCAGAGACCAGAACTGAGAAGGATACCCACATGACATCTGGCTGTGAAAAGCAGCAGTGTTGCTGTCTGCCAGGGAGTGACGCCTAGAAATTCAGGCACCCCCTTAAAGGGCCAATGCACAAACTCCTTGTGCTCTGGCAGAGGGAGGGCAGAGTGGATTGGAGTTGTGTGAGCAGAAGCCAGGATTGGGGACTTGGGGGTTAGAGCTCAGAAGGCAGACACCTCCAGTCTCCTATGCTGAGTCATTCCCTCACTCAGCGGAGGAAATCTTTCCCACACAGACATTTGCCTTGCCTTGGGGGGACAGGTGTGGGGGGGGGAAGACAGTTGACCCACCCTATTGGAAAACACCCTGCCCTGAGGCCACTTCAGAGACTAAAAATAACAATTAGCCTCCAGGCAGAAGCAACTGCCCCACCCTGTTGAAAAAAAACTCACCACCACTGAGGATGATTGTCTGGGGCCATTCAAGTCAGAATCCTATCAGTCTGTAGGCAGAGGTGGTCTCTGGAGACTTTGAGTCTTTGCCTGATCTAATTAGTCAGAAATAGTGTTTGACACTCCTGCACTAGAGATTGAGAGTCATAGAGGATCTACCTAATTCATAGTCACAAACCCAAACAGACAGCCAAAATGAAGAGACAAAGAAACAACCCCCAAATGAAAGAACAAGAATATTATCCAGAAGGAGATAAATGAAACAGAGTTCAGAGTAATGATGGTAAAGATGCTCAACAGCATGAAAAAAGATATAGTAACTATGAAAAAAGAACAGTCTGAGATAAAGAATGACATAACACAAAGAACACATTGGAAAGAATACATAGCAGACTAGGGGAAGCTGAGGATTGAATCAGTGAATTAGAAGACAGGGTTGAAAAAAATCAATCAGAGAACCAAAAAGAAAAACCAATTAAAAAACGGGAGGACAGCTAAGGGAGATGTGGGACAATGTGAAATGTAACAATATTAGAATAGCAGGTGTTCCAGAAGAGGCAGAAATGGAGAAAGAGATAGAGAATGTGTTTGAAGAAATAATGGCAGAAAACTTCCCTAACCTGGTAAAGCAGTGGTTCTCAACCTTCCTAATGCCGCGACCCTTTAATACAGTTACTCATGTTGTGGTGTCCCCCAACCATAAAATTATTTTCGTTGCTACTTCATAACTGTAATTTTGCTACTGTTATGAATTGTAATGTAAATATCTGATATGCAGGATGTATTTTCATTGTTACAAATTGAACATAATTAAAGCATAGTGGTTAATCACAAAAACAATATGTAATTATATATTCAATATGTGTTTTCTGATGGTCTTAGGTGACCCCTGTGAAAGGGTCGTTCGACCCCCAAAGGGGTTGCGACCCACAGGTTGAGAACCGCTGTGGTAAAGGAAAAAGTCACATAAGTTCAGGAGGCACAGAGAACCCTAAGCAAGAAGAACCCAAACAGACCCACACCCAGACTCATCATAATTAAAATGCCAAAAATTAAATGCCAAATCTTAAAGGCAGCAAGAGAAAAGCAAACTGTTACCTACAAAAGAACTCCCATAAGGCCGACACCAGATTTCTCATCAGAAACTCTACAGGCCAGAAGGCAATAGCATCAAGTACTCAAGGTAATGGAGACCAAGATTAATATATCCAGCAAGGCTGTCATTCAAAATAGACAGTCCAATAAAGAGCTTCCCAGACAAAAAAAAAAGGCTAAAGGAGTACATCGCCACCAATCCAGCATTACAAGAAATGCTAAAGGGATTGCCATAATGAAAAGAAGAAACAGAAAGAGAAACCTAGGCATGCAGAATTAACCCTAAATGTAAATGGATTAAATGCTCTAATCAAAAGGCCTAGGGTAGCTGAATGGATACAAAAACATGACCCAATTATATGCTGTTTACAAGAGACCTACCTCAGAACAAAAGACACAGAGTGAAGGGATGGAAAAAATTTTTCCATGCAAACGGAAAAAAAAAAAAAAAAAGAGCTAGAGTAGCAATACTCATATCTGACAAAATAGACTTTAAAGGACAACAAAGGTCACTACATAATACTAAAGGGGATTGACCAACAAGAGGATATAACCCTGGAAAACATATATGCACCCAATATAAGAGCACCTAAATATATAAAAAAAACTTCTAGAGGACTTTAAGGGAGAGATCAACAACAATACAGTCATAGTAGGGGACTTTAACACCCCTACTGAGGTGGCAAGAACATAGTGATCAGAATAGTAAAAAAAAAAAAAATGAAACCTAGAAAAAAGCAGGCTAAGGGGCAAACATGGACAACGCACCTGCCACCTTCCTTCCACGGATGACGTGCCGGAGACACCCTATGCGTCTGTGCTCTACGCCTCTGACCAGATTACCAGCCACCTCTCCTGGATCCCATTTCCCACTCAGTCAGCAACCTCATGATTATGATCAGTTTCCCATGTGGATGTAACTATAAATCCAAATGTGGAAATTGTCTCCTGGGAGTTTGGCATGAGTAAGTTATCAAAGTTGCTCAGCACTTGGCACATTAGCAACTGAATTCCCATGCACACCACAAATGCTACTCCAGAATATAGTGACTAGCCCGGCTGGTGTGGCTCAGTGGTTGAGCGTCGCCCCACGAACCAAGAGGTCACTGTTCGATTCTCAGTCAGGGCACATGCCCAGGTTGCAGACTCAGTCCTCAGTAGGGGGCGTGCAGGAGGCAGCTGATCAATGATTCTCTCTCATCGATGTTTCTCTCTATCCCTGTCCCTAAAAATCAATGAAAACATAGAATATAGTGATCAAAGAAGACACTGTCAACTTGTAGGATCTGGGCAGCCAGTTAACTTAACCCTAAGTTACCCTGACCTTGCAGCTTTCCATTCAAACTTCAATGTATGTCAGACCTTACCTGAACACCGCTAAGTAAGGGGAAGCACTGGAGGAGGAAGTTGAGGTCCTCGGCACTGGGCTGTTGCACCCACACACTGTGGTTTTCAGGCTCTGCAGTTGCTAACTTTGAAACAGTGATGCATGGTTTGCGCCCAACTAAAAATTCGTATCTATAATAATGAGTTCATGGTTTTAAGTTCTTCCTGCTAACCCACCTTGAGTTGAAGAAGTCTCTACAATTATACAGTGAATTTTTAGGGTGTGTGTACCCTTTCCGTAGCTGCTGTATTAAGTACTAAGGCAAGTTTTATTGATAAATGAACAGGAATTGAAAAATAACAGGACGCAACCTCCTCTATCCAGTAGACTTGCCAATTTCTGGAGCTAGAATCTCATATTCTGAGTTTATTCTATAAATGTTAAAAAGCAGCAAATCTGACCCAAGCTCATGATTCACCCTATTGACATCACTATCCCACAGTGGCCTACGACTTTGAAAGGGCTCGGATGCCCACTTTTTGCCCTATTGCTGTTAAGTATTTGGTTGCATAAACAGGGCGTAAGCAGCGTTAAGAAGCTTTAAGCTCCCTGCAGCGAGGGCCTTTGCGTTTCCACGGGTGTTAATGTGTCGTTCCTGAGAGCAGCTGGGAAGGTGGGAAGGGCAGTTAAACAGCTCAAGGTACAGGCTGCGAGCTACAGAGCAGTTGTCATTCCCATTTCCCATCCTGGAAAGCAACTGATTTCCGATGGGAGCCCTGACCTGAGCCCTCCAGCAAATGAGGTTTTCACAACGGCCCCCGTCCCCCATGAGACGTTTCAATCCATTCCCAAGATGAGGCCACTGGCGCAGGAAAGAACCTCCCCCCACCCCTCACCCCACAGTGTTCACTCTAGAATAGTGTTGGTCCCTAGGGAGGGGGCAGGCGGCAGTCTACAGCGCAGGTCCTCAGCCCTCACCCCTTGCACTTCACCCCGCTCGCTCCCAGGCCACCGCTTCTTTACTGGTCTCTTACTGGTTCCTCGTGTCTGGTACGATTGAGCTTTCTGAAATGCTGCATTGGTTTGACTTCATTTTTATGTGGCTTTCCTCGTTCTGAGCCATCAAATCCACCTTTAGCCTGCCTTTCCGTGTCCTTCAGGATCGAACCCCGACCTATCTTTGAAGCCTTATTTTTGTTCTAAAACTTGACCCGCCTGCCATGGCCCAAATGGACTCTTCCTTGCCCTCCAGGCTCTAACCACCGGCCTGTGGCCACACCCTCTCCCCAGACTGCATGCCCTCAACAGCTGGCACCTTTAAGGCCCGGCGCCATCAAAATCCATCTTCCCTGATGCTCCCTCTGACTGACTCGACCTAAGGGGCTTTCTCCACGTGACAGGCATCATTGAATACTTTAATGAGTCTCTCATATTTGATGAATTTAATGTTAAGCTCATAAAAAACAAAATCTGGGTTCTGTATCTTTTCCTATGTCCCGCCCTCCCGCATTCCCAAGTACCTTGCACATACATTTGTTTTTCAAAAAAGTGCCTACTAGTGCCAGGCCCAAGGCTAGGCCTGGGGAATACTGTAGTGAAAAGACAGATGGTCTCTGCTCCGAGACGTACGTGTTTGTTGATAACGATAAGGAACCTGCAGATTAAAATGCATGTTTACCACCACCCAGCAGCGTACTTCCAGAGGTCAGCACACTGGGACAGGCAGAACTGTCCAAGGCCATATTGCTGTAGTCACTCTAACCTGGGAGGGTGCACGTAAGATCTTAGAGTCTTAGCAGAGGGCTCAGCACCAACCTGAATATAAACATAGTGGGGTAAACAAACACACATATTGGAATAAAGTTGATGAGGGCCCAAAGAGGCAAACTGACTCTCTCTTTGGTCTAAAATGACTGCAGGATGAAGACAGATCTTTTTAGACGACTCGGACTACACTGCACTTTCTGTACAAGGATAGGCTGACCCATCCTCGGAAGGCTCTGCGCCAGGCCAGCGTTTCAGTCCGGCGGTAGGCGCACCCCTCTTTGCACCTGTCGCGACCAGTGGTTTGCATGTGCACCATCGGTGGGATTAGGAGCAACCTGTAGCCCAGGGTGGAGTTGGAATTACAGAATGTGACGGCTGAAAGGGAGTGTGGACCTCATCTTGTCCATCTCCTCCTTGCACAAGGCAGGTCATTTTGCAAAACGGGGAAACTGAGCCCCAGGGAGGTGAAGGGACTTGACCCAAATGGTCCAGAGTCAGATCTCCCGCCTCCCGGGCCCTGTGGGATCAGCCCCTGGGACAGCATTTTAAAGGCCAGGGAGGGGTTTGTTTTATAGACATTGTAAGGAAACTTGTATTTTCTTAAAAAAAAAAAAAAGCTCCCCTGACTTCCGTGGGTAGAGAGAGGTCTGTGACCGGATTCACCAGGTCACTGTGGGACCCTGCAAAGTCACCCCACCTCCGCCTCTCTGGGCCTGAGCGCCTCATTTGCCAGGTCTTTAGTCAGAGGTCTCTGGAGCATCTTTAAGGCTCACTGAGTTTTATTACTCACCCGATTTCTCTGGCCAAAGCTGGGGGCCCACGGACACCGGGGAGCGGGGAAGAAGGGGCACCTGCTAGGTGGCTCTCGGAAGTATGGGTGGACCTGGGTGAGATCTGGTCAGCTGGTTAGAAGGCAGCCTTTTGGTCGCTGTGCTTTCTGAGCCCCTTCAGGGTGTTCGATTCCTTTGTTTTTCGAAGCTTTGCTTTAATCTGTGCTACTCTCCTAAGCTACATGCAAATGTGACTTTCACCTGCAGTCCTAGGTTTTTGGAGGACAGGAACCTTCTTATCACAGGGATACCATAAAGGAAAGATGCCCCCCCCTAACCGCCCCCCCTGAACTCAGCCTTACTTTCTGGTCTATGACTTCCTCATTCTAAAGCATGCTATGTTTGCCCAATTTAGCTTTGAAGATAAGACCACAGTATAGATAATAATGGAAGAATAACATCTATTTTGTACAGGGCAGGCGCCTACAGGGTAGTCAGCAGCTCTTTCCAGACCAAGCACCTGGCAGCATGCTTGGCACATAGTAGGTGCTCAATAAAAGTTTTCTAAACAAACTGTGAGCATTGGGGTGCTCCTGAGCCATGCACTGCTCTGTCCTTAGGAAACCGCGCCATCGAGTGAGGAAGAAGAAGAAATGCTTTCCTGGACCTGTCTCCTCTCCTTGCGCCATTCATTCAGCAAACTCAGCCTCGACAGAGCAAGGAACTAAGGCCCGACTTTTGAACTCACTCACTTAGAAGCCTCTACAGATTCTTCCAGAATAGGGAAATACCTGTCCGTTTCGGTTTTATGTGACGTTATCTGATGAGAAGGGATGTTAGTTCACTGTGTGGGGATCGAACTGGTAAGGCAAGTTGAGTGACTGTGGTTCTGGGTGAATCGCTTTGCTGCCGGATGGCCAGTATCACCCACAGGTCAAGTGCAGAGAAACTAGATCTCGATGATCTCAGACCTCCCCCTGCCCTGAACACCTATCATTCGATGGTAGCCTTGGGCCCTGGCTTGCTCTAAGCTACCCTTTGATTTTTTCCAACCCACGCAAAGCTGCTGGGCTTGTCCTTCCTGAGGACATTATTTGCGAAGTTGTATCGCTTGGTCCCTAATTTCCATGATCTCTGAAAGCAGGGGTTAGACATGGCAGTCTGAGGGTCTCTTCAACCGTAACACTATGATTCCGCGCACGCACGGGTTCCTGGCTACCGTCTTGTCTCCACCCTAACGCTCTTCCAAAGGAAGGATAACAAAATACGCCGGGCAGTTTGGAGTATCTCCGACCCTTGGGTTGTCTTAACCTTAAATACATGAGTCCTCTGCCAGGGCTTGTTCAGCTGCTCAGCCTGGGAATTTCACTGTGATTTGGTTTGTTGAGAAAAGACTCGACCTGGGGCACGAAGAATGCAAAATACCGGGTTATTATAGACCGTCAGGGTGTTAATCCAGGGTCAGCTCAGAGTCAAGTTCTAAATGCAAGCTGTGGCTGGAAATGGTGGTGGCAGCTGGAATAAGCCAAGCCTGGGCAAGGCATGGCCAACCTCCATTCTTCTTAAAGGTGTGGCCTGGGTAACAGCTCTGGACAAGCTGTTTCCGAACCCAGTTGTCAAAATCATTCTGTATTTAGGTAAAGTTCATTCGCTATTTAAAAAAAAAAAAAAATCCCAAACCTAACCTGTAGGGCTGCCTCAGCAGCGCTGAATCACCGGATACAACCGATACACCCGCTTTACAAGAGGATGATGTTGAAACCCAAGCCCCTAATTTAAGTGTCCTCCTCAGGAGTTCCACTGGGGAGACGTCCTTTCTGGGAAACCACAGAGGAAAGCTCGGGTTAGTGGTTCTCATTAAGAGCGAGGGAGCGTTCCCTGGCTGCACTGTTTATTTCCACACTGTAACTCTCCACCTTGCCTCCCCTCGCCTCCGTCACGAGAGGAGGCATTTCTGTGTCCGCCAGGCTGGATGTGCTTACTGTTGCCCCCCAAAATGCCACATCACGGTGCTTGGGATATGGGGAGATGCACCGCTTAGAGATTTCAGCATAAGCACTTGGTATTTTTTTTTTGCCAACAAATCGCTCGTTTTATTATGGTTTCCAAAACAATAAGATTCCTGAGAAATG